GTCTCTTTCAGGAAGGGACACCCAGGCCCACCGAGAGGGACGGAGAAGAAGGGCAAACACGCAGAGAAGCCTAGAGCAGAGATGAACTCAACTTCGGCCAGACTTTAAGGGATCCGAAGCCTTTTTTCCCTCTCCGCTTTCTACCCCTGCCTGGCCTTCCTCTTTTTTTTAGCCACATGAACCAACTGGAGGGTGGCAGCACCCTACACCAATTTCCTGTTCACTTCCTCCTCTGCAGCATTCCTAAATAACTCTCCCCCTGGGCTTGAGAGGCCCGGTTTCCCCCTCTAGACACTGTGCTGGTTTGGGTCCCGGCTTGTCCCCATGCCGCAGCAGTTCTGCCCCCAGCAATTCCTCTCGAAAGCTGCAGGCGCCGCGGGAGAAACCAGCACTGGCTTTTCTGGTTAGGGGACTCAGACCTGCAAAGCACCAGGCACATAGAGCTTGGGGGCAGGTGGGGGGGACCCCCTCTAGCTCCTTCCTAGAGGAGCGGGCCTACGTCGCAGATCTTCATCGCACCACACCCGCGTCGGCCAAAGAGCAGCAGGGGCCGGTTCCTCCCAGCAGACTCTGTTCCCGACGCTTGCGTTTATGGGCTTTCCCGGAGTGGTAAAAAGGGAGCTCTTTTATAGCCTGGCTCCCTTTCCCAGCATGCACCGCTGGCCGGCCTACAACATCCATGGTCCCCCTGGCCTCCAAGTCCCAGAATCCCTTGTGTCCAGTGTCAGAGCTGGACAATGACTTCCCTTAAAGGGCTAGACACACAGACACCCCCGCCCCCTCCTGCGGGGGAAGCTCTTGGGATTCACGGCAGCGGGTGTAGCCCAGCAGGGACATTACCCAGCTGCACCCACGTGATCGCAAAAGAAACACCCAAGGGGCTGAGCGCTCCAGAGAGACGCTTCCAGCTGGGACGTGCTCCTGGGTGGTTCAGCCTCACCCCCATCCCCCCGCCAGAGCTGGGGATAGGACCCAGGAGTCCTGGCTCCCAGCCTCACCCCACCCTTTCCTAGCCTGCTAGACCCCACCCCAGAGTGGGGGGTTAGACCCCAGGCATCCTGGCTCCCAACCCCCTGTCCTAACCACTAGACCCCACTCCCTCTAAACTCAGCAGCGGTGCCCCAGCCCGGGCTGGGGCGAAGTCCAGCCCAATCTCATCGCCTGCTGGAGTGGGTAACGTTTGTAAATAAAACAGCACCTCCAGGGCTCGGGGCCCCCCTCCCTCACTGTCCGTCCCTCCGCAAGCCGCCTGCTTGGCACAGAGCCTAGGGAAACTGCGAGCTTCCTCAACAGGTTGCAGATTTTAAACGTCGCTTTCGCCACTCGCAAGCAGCGGCCTGACCAGGCAGCCAGAGGGCGTGACCCTCATTCCCGTGCAGGCCTCGAGCCCGCTCCTCGGACGCATGGTCCTGCCGTCCATGCCAGGAGATCGGATCCCCTTCCTCACCCTCACGCTCGCCCCCGGCTGGAGAGGCCAGCTGGTCCCGGGGCCGGCTCCCATCCCTCGGCCCCATCCCCGTTCCGGGGGGTGTCGTTCGTCCAGCCTCCCCATTACCTTGTGCCGAGCCTCGGACGTCGCTGCCAGGGGGACGCGTCTGTTTAATCCATCCTGCCCCGGAGGGGGTGGGAGCTGGCGGGTCGGGGCCAGGGCTTCTCCGCCCCCCTGCCCGCTGCCCGGTTTGGGTTTGCAGTTGGGTTTCCGGCTTCGCAGGGTTTGTTGGGGAGCCAGGTGGCGATTGGTGCGGGGAGAGGCTCAGGCAGGCTGACATCAGAGGCTCCAAACTGTAACTGAAAGTAACGAAAGGCAGGAAGAGGGAGGAGGCCTGCGGACGGGGGCGGGGGCGGATCGTACTGTGCCCCGCTTGCAGCTCCTGGGTTTGGCCGGAGTCCTGCCCACAGCCCATCCCTGCCCCTCCAGGCCTCTCCCTGCACACGCTGCCCCTGCCGTGCCCCCACCAGGCCCCCTCGGCAGGTCGAGGACAAGGCAGAACGGCTGGACGCAGGCCTGGCCTGAGCCGGACGGTGGCCTTCCCTTGGCCTCCCAGGTCTGCCAGCGCATCTCTGCCCTGACCT